AAAAAATGTGGTGTACTTGTTAGCTTAATCTATATCACCTATGCGACCTATTTCGAGCTTCTTACCCCGAAACATTATCTTCTGTTAACGCCAACAGACCATGGTGATGAGATACTTGACAATTGTGCCCAGAATGTTGACCTTAATTTTGAACTATTCAATTGTCAAGCAACCGTTCATGTTCGTGAACTTGATTGGATGAGTTCCTGGCCTCCTAAAATATTCCTAGAAGAATCCACTAATTTCAACAGGTGAGATTTTTACTTGTAACAATCTTCCTTGTTTTTCTCTTCTTTTCTCCTCCCCTGGATTGGTGATGTATTAAAAAGTAGGCATAATGTTGTAAGAACAGTGTTCTACACGTTTTAACATCTTTAATTGGGGAAACATAAGTCGGTTAATTTGATGGTATTTATTAGGTATTCTTGGACCGCCTCCGAAGTTGAAGAAGCCCAGGAAGCTTCATTGCTTGTAGCCGCAGATGTAATCTACAGTGATGACCTCACAGATGCATTTTTCAGTACTATAGAGAGCTTAATGTGCCTTGGTTCAGAAAAGGTACTTGTAAAGGCATTAGAACAGCCCATAGTAAGAGTTGCAAGTAGCCAAGTACTATATCTGGAAAGCATAATGAGATTTTGTTCATTTCCTGTTTTAAATACAAGACTTAAACACCCAATACATGGATAGTTTTGTAGACGAGGGTAGAACATACTTTCTCAGTTTGGGCCATTAATGGTACTCATCATGTTTATCAGGTGTTATACTTGGCATTGGAAAAGCGCTACAACTTCAGCCTCGACGATCTTGATGTCATTGCAAATGGTTATTTGCATTTCCGAAGCTATCTGCGAGATGAGGAAGGTAAGGTAACCATGTCCTTGTGTGGTTGTTTCCATCATGAGTAATTATCATCATTCCTTCTGGTATTTAGCTTTGGAATGGATAGTTGCAGAGTGTGAAGGCGCTGAAGTCTGCTCAACACCTTGCTTTGTGGGCAAGCGCATTGACATCACACAGATTCCTCAATATGCGAGAGAGTATGACAGAGGAAGCAATGTGGAGATTTGGAAGATCAAGTACAACAGAAGAAGATCTTGAACTAAGGTTCCTACTTTCTACCTATGACAACAGGATATCCCAAGTTATTAGACAATTCTTCTGCTTTGTAAAGGTGCATAAGATTTTGTTGTTTCCAGCTTGAAGGATGATCATGAAACTATTAGGCTGGAAAGTGGGCTTGGTTAATGGGCCCATTTACAAGTTTCTGCAGTCCACAAATGCCCTTAGCCCATGCTGAATTTTTCACCCATATCAAGTCTGAAACTTGGGAAACCCTAAACTAATGACATCTAGAGGAATGCCCTTTTAGTATGTGAGCATAAACATTGTTTTTTTTTT